CCTAAATCTAGGGTGTTATTATATTATAGTTGTTGAGTTTAATCCAACACGATATAGTAAATATATGTATAAATGTGTATGAACAAGCTCAGTTTTTACGTGGAAACCCGAAAGGGAGAAAACCACGGGACTTTTTAGGCTAATGTCCAAGCCCTCTCAATTCTCATTAGGCTCTCCTCACCATTACATTATACAAGCTTGAGGCTCCGATTAATGGAGTATTATCTAATCTAGAGAGCTAAAGGAAGAAGGAAAAGGATCTTTTACACGGAGGCTAAGCTCCCTATTTATAGACAAAGGGGAAAGGGTGCTCTCCACCCTAATGGGCCAAACGGGCCAATGTTGGGCCTAATGGGCCGAAATGGGCCTAGCCGCTCGGGCTCCGTACTGGATAATGTCTTGGGTTCCTGAACAGTAATAGACCGGGATAATATACCCCAACACAAGTCCCCCAGTTTCTTGAGTAGTGAGCGTGCAAATCTGCTCGAGAAAGTATACTCTTTCCTGCGCTCTTCCTCTGTCTTCCAAAGGGTTCTTCATATGATATATATATGTATCTCATATGGTAGAAGAAAATAAAGGAAAAGTTAATATAAGGTCATTACCTTAATCCTTCTCACTTTTAGCACTTTAGCTCCTTTTCTTGAGATTCTTTCTTGTTGAGCTCCCTTCAAAAATGGAGAAGGAGGGTTGAGAGCTTCCTTGATCTTGCTGGATGAGTGCTGGCCGAAAAAATGAGAAGGGAGGTTGTACATGGTCCTTTTTGTCTCAATAGACCAATGAGTGTGGGTGGAAGGCCCACCTCATGCCCCTTTGATCCTTTTCCAATCAACCCAACATCCCCCATCTTTCTCTTATCAATTCAGCCGCCCAAAGCCTTGAAAAAATGTGGCTAAATTCGTGGGTTGGCCCCCACTCATGTGGGAGGTCAACCCTCTTTGTCCAGAAGTGTACAATCGGTCCCGAAAGTTGTATTTTTTGGACTGTTTTAAATATATTTTATTTTATCGGTCCAAATAAAATATATTATGTGTTCTTAATCATTATGACATTTAGAATGAATATACATTCCCCAAATTTAATTTATAAGTCTCCGAAATTCATTTCGGGCTGTTATCTGTTAAGTTACCAATACCGGCATTTGGGCCTCTTTTGACCAATCGGTCAACTTTGGGCCTTTTCACAGACCAAATGAAATATCCACCATCATATAACTATTATCTAGATCAAGATGAATAAAATATATGGCCCCGGGAATCTCGGGTGGCCCCCGCTCCCAGTGTGGGCCCCACGTGCGAATTTACTATTCACGCAAAAAGATTAATAAAAATTCACAACTTCGTATATTCATTAATCATCCCATAAGGTTCAATACATTATTCACTTAAAAGTAAATACATTTGGGGGACGGTGTTACAAAATGTGTATGTTTATATGGAGTATATTGTTAATTTTTCTTTTTAGATAATATGTGTTATATTTTGATATGTATTGAAAAAATGTTAAAGTTTTAAAAATCATTAATGACTATTCATTTCTAGTAATATAGTGTATATAACTTTTTTTTTGTATCATGTTTGTGCAATGTTACAACTTAATTAATATGTTTTAAATCTTAGCTCGCACAGTGCAGCTATAAATTAAACTACAACTAATATTTAGCCTATAAAAAGAACGTTGAATTTTTCTATTATATTCGAAAAATTGATGATATATTTTTTATATTTTCACGTGAACTTATAAATTAAAGATTATATGTATCTCGTGCACCATCATTTTGTTACACTTTTTCTTAGTTGTGTTGCACTATTTGTATATTTGTAAATTTTAGTACTATTTGCACATTATTATATGTAATATGCAATTTCTTCTATTTAAATCAACATTTCATGTTAGTTGATTGGTGTGATGATATCTACAAATTACAAAATTTGTCCAATTTTTTAGCATTCGTTTGGCATTGTACCGTACCGTTTTATACCGTTCCGAAACGAAACAGTACCGAATGGTTCCATCCTTAGAACGGACCATACCGGACAGTTAGAAACCTCACAGATACATTACAGGTTTTACTAATTTCCCGAATCTTTCTGGACCGTGCCCACCTCTAATACAAACCACGAAACCCTTGCTAAATATGAAAAGAAAGTTTATATTTGGATAGAAATGAAAATAACGAAAGTTATTTTGAGACGTATGGAATAGGGGAAATTCCCATACAGGACTAAAAAAGTTTGAAAATTCCAAAATAGGACTGCCATTTTTATTCCCTAAAATATGAGTAATTACTGGCATGTTTGAAGTCATGCTTAAGGATGGACTCGGCCCGGGCCAACCGGCCCGGAACCGGACCGGCCCGCTACTGTGCGGGCTCGGACCGGCCCGGTGAACCGGTTAGTGCCCGGTTCGGGCCACCCGGCCCGGTGGGCTTCGGTTCCGGGCTCGGTCCATCCATTTGGTGAACCGGCCCGGCCGGTTCGGGCCCGGTCCGGGCCGAATTTAATTTTTTTTTTCTGAATTTTTTTTAAGTTTTTGGGTTGGGCTGGGTATTTTGGGCCATTTGAGGTGGTTTGGGGTGATTTGGGGGTGAGGGGGGTGGGTTGGGGGTTAAATAGGAGAAGCCAAAAAAAATTACAAACCGGGTGGCCCAGCCAGGCCCGGAACCGGACAGAACCGCGAACCGGCCGGGCCCAACAAAACAGAACCGCGAACCGGCCGGGCCCGGCCCCGAACCGGAACCGGTCCACCCCTAGTCATGCTTTAGAAGTAAAAACATGATAATCCTATTTTGAAATTTTCGAACTATTTTAATCCTATTTCAGGTAATACTCTTGAGAATATTCATTGCCTTGCAAGTGAGATACAATCTTTGTATTATTGTATATGCTTCTCCTACAACACGCTTGAGCTCGAAAATGACATTTAATCGGTACGATTGTTTTTGTAACATAAGGCCGTTTTTTTTCATTAATAGTTTTTGGCATTTTTTGACAGGAAAAAAAATAAAAATACCCCAAACTTGTATATGTAATTTAAATACCCTAAACTTCATATGAAAAGTTATTTGTGCACCATTGTCATGTACTATTTCTTTCAAAAATGTAAATTTATGAGGTTATAGTTGCATAATTTAAAATAGCAAATTAAAAGTGTTGCAATTATATAGATTGGGAGAACATTATTTATTTCACAATGGAAATTTAAAATGTTAATTGTGCCTTCATAAATTCTAAATTATTTTAAATTATGCAATCAACACTATAGTTACATTTTTTAAAGAAATGGTATTTGATAATTGTGTTAAAATAACTTTTGATACAAAGTTTGGGGTATTTAAATTACATATGCAAGTTTGAGGTATTTATCTCACACCCCTTCAAAATTTGGGAGCGGCGAGCTCCTTGTGGGGCACGGCGGCGGAATGGCCGGCTGCTCCGGCCAAGGCCTTCCAAACTTCAGATCTGGAAACTTTTTTCTTTTCTAGAATTCTTTCTTCTTTTTTGCTAAAAACAGTTGAATCTCCGGATAAATTTTTTTTCTCAGAAAATCAAGAACAACGTGAATCTTTTTGAACAAGGTTCCCACAGACGGTGCCAGTGTTGAGTTTAATTCAACACGATATAGTAAATATATATATGTAAATGTGTATGAACAAACTCAGTTTTTACGTGGAAACCCGAAAGGAAGAAAACCACGAGACTTTTTAGGCTAATGTCCAAGCCCTCTCAATTCTCATTAGGCTCTCCTCAGTCCTCACCATTACATTATACAAGCTTGAGGCTCCCGTTAATGGAGTATTATCTGATCTAGAGAGCTAAAGGAAGAAGGAAAAGGATCCTTTACATGGAGGCTAAGCTCCCTATTTATAGACAAAGGGGAAAGGGTGCTCTCCACCCTAATGGGCCGAAATGGGCCTAGCCGCTCGGGCTCCGTACTGGATAATGTCTTGGACTCCTGAACAGTAATAGGTCGGGATAATATATCCCAACAATAGTTAACCCACGTTCTTCCATGCTAGAGCTCATAGTCATACTACCTTTTGCTAGAACTCGGCTCATAGTCATACTACCTTTTGCTAGAACTCGGCTCATAGTCATACTACATTTTGCTAGAACTCGGCTCATAGTCATACTACATTTTGCTAGAACTCTGCTCAGTCATACTACATTTTCGCTAGAGCTCGACTCATAGTCATACTACCACGTGCTAGAGCTCAACTCATAGTCACGTCATCTAATCGACTAATCCCTAAACAATTTCTTAGGCTAGACTCCATCCATTTTGAGTAACCCTTAAGGCCTACTCCTAATGCAACTTGAGTTCATAAAGTCCACATTAAAAGTATCTCTTAAGGTTACTTAGGGCGTACCCACCTTAAAATACCCTAAACTTTGATAAGGTGTGAAGTAAACACCCCAAACTTGAATATGTAATTTAAATATCCTAAACTTCATATGAAAAGTTATTTGTGCACCATTCTCATGTACTATTTCTTTCAAAAATGTAAATTTATGAGGTTATAATTGCATAATTTAAAATAGCAAATTAAAAGTGTTGCAATTATATAGATTGAGAGGACATTATTTATTTTGCAATGGAAATTTAAAATGTTAATTGTGTCTTCATAAATTCCAAAATATTTTAAATTATGCAATCAACAATATAGTTACATTTTTTAAAGAAATGGTATTTGATAATTGTGTTAAAATAACTTTTGATACAAAGTTTGGGGTATTTAAATTACATATGCAAGTTTGGGGTATTTATCTCACACCCCTTCAAAGTTTGGGATATTTTATTTATTTTTCCCTTTTTTGACACATCATATGAAAAATCATCTTCATTTGGTCCATGTCTCTTATTAGGCACATAAAATGTTTGAAGCAATACTCTTATTGACATAATTATAATTTGAATTTGAATATTATATAATACGTAAGTAAATAATTGTAAGCAAAAAATCAATAGACCAAAAGTGAAAAGTAAGACTAAATAAATACCTGCAGGGTGCAGGGTAATGGTATAAATTAACCCTTTATTTTGACTCGCATGGTCCGGTACCAAAATATCTCTCTCGCTCATTACAATACCAAATCCAAAGCCACATCCAGGAAGGTATTGATAACCTTTGATTTATATGCCCAAATACATTTAGAAGAAGTAGTAGCATACACAAAAGGCTAAAAAGCACATCTCCATCCCTACGGTTTCATCACCATTAGAAACCCCCCAACTCCCCCAAGTATGTGGCACTGGCACATGCTAATAAGTCAAGTTAACATACGGAGTACAACATTTTTAAAAAATGTATATACTACTAATATAGGCTACAGTCACTACTCACTAGCAATTAATTAGGCTATAAATCACATCATTTCAGAGATCCACACCACAGATATTGAAAAGACAAACGAATACTTAAACAAACAAACAAAAGCACTACACCTGGGAACACTCATCATCCTAGAGAAACATCATTTTTGTTGGGAAAAGAAGAAGAAACCCTAACTTTTTATCTAGAAACAGAAAAATTAATAATCACAGTTCCTTACAACTAACTAGATGAACAAAAGAAAGAAAGAAAGAAAGAAAGAAAGAAAGAAAGAAAGAAAGAAAGAAAGAAAGAAAGAAAGAAAGAAAGAAAGAAAGAAAGAAAGAAAGAAAGAAGTGCTAGACCGAATTAGGTTTTCAGCAAAATCTGTCAATTGTGAATTGGCGGGGAGTTGCCGCCAAAAACAATTGAGAGGTTTTGTTTTTTAAGTCAGAAGGACCTGCTTCTATACTAGTAGAACTGATCATGTTTGACTTGGCAACCAAGCTTTTATGCAGACGCAACAAAAAATTCCTCTAGCAATTTTTAAAAACCACCTTTTTCTCTTCTCCTGAAACAAGACACATCGGCTAATCCCATGGGTTTGCTGTGCAAAATTGTCCTTCCCTGTTCAAACTCCACGCCACACCAAGTAAACTTCCCTACAATCACCTAATCATCCAAAAAGTAAGAGGTTATAATGACACTCAAGTAGACAAAACAACTAGGTAGCACAAATGTTGTTACCGGAAGCCCTAAGCACTTGTGATCTAACAATGTGTTTCATTATTACTCCCTCTGTCTAAAGAAATCACTTCTCAACCAGTTTTTCTTTATCGCAAAAACCCAAATTAGGGTTATCCACTAAAGACTACGGTCGAGTCATGAAATACTGTATAAAAAAGTCATACCCAGTCATATATGATAAATATAGCTAATCAAGCAAACAAATTTAAAAGGTCAATGTAATTTACTCCTATTTGGTTGGGGGGGGGGGGGGGTCACAATACTTCATTTTTGGAATTTTACATCGTACTACTCCTACTTAGGGCATCTGCTGTTTTTACAACCAAGCTGTAATTAATACTATTACCTCACACATTAATATAAATTATATAATCACCTCTGCTGACTCCATGCATGTTTGTAGTTAACAAGCTGTTACTTAATTTATAGCAGTTGTACCTTACCAAAATTAAAAAGTCTTACCTTTGTCACATGAGATTTTTATGGGACGGATGGAGTACACTTATTTCAACGAAAACTTACACTGTTCTGTTCTCAAAGGGAAAAGTGCAATTTTGGTCCTTCATGAAATATAGAACCCATTTTTCAGATTTTTGTAAGTTTAGTTCCTCAATTCATTACTAATTGAGATACAATTGGTACCTCATGCTATCATCACAGTTTAGTACTATGGTATATGATGTCCTTCCCGACAATATAGAATGCTGAGAATGCTCCCATGGCCCAATAAACAACACTGGTACATAATGGTGATTCTAAATGGAAGAACTTGAAGTGCATAAGAATCATAGCAATTGAGTGACAATTTACAAAACTATAATACAGGTCTCAGGATACATGATGTCAACTAATTGGGGGTCTAAATGTGATTTTCTCCATAAATAGTGTAGACTACAAGTTAAATTAGTCATAGTTGAACCAAGAAAGGATAGCCATGCATGTAAGTTTACCTTTCATATATTTCGCCTAACTAAAACTCAAAAGGGAGCCTCGAGCGATTCATCCCACACATCAGCACTTCCATTGGAGGCATCTTCAGCATCTTCCTCCATCGAAAGCCTAATATATTCTCGATGCGCGAAGCGGTCCCATTCTGTCAAATTTGGATTCTCACGCTCCTTCAAAAACAGAAATTAATCAATCCTTGATAATAATAAATATCAAAATCATATGAGCACTACAGATATTTCATAATTAAATACCTGACGAATTAGGAAAGGATCACGAGTTTCAAACGCCATAAATTTATTGAGGTTAAAAAGAATGTTGAAAACACTGCCTGATAGTTTGCTTCCCTTCAAGTCACGTAATGTAACATAGCTTTCATCCTGCGAAGAAAGTAAATAGATTTTCATGTTAATGATTGATTTTGTATCATCTTGAACATGACAGCTACATTATATGTTAGACATTGCCTTGCATACAAAGATATGAAATACTCCCCGAAATAATACTTGTAATGTGAGCCTCTTTCAAAGCCAGAAGAGATCAATTAACTAGAAAAACATAGATTTTCTTGCACTACATAATCAGGATGAGGTGTGAAGCCTCTAAGGCTGTGATGACTGATGAGAACCCAGAAAACAGTAGCAAAAATGAAACAAAAAATACCAAGTACAACGGTTTTTCTATGTTCGGCTTTTGCCTAGGAAAGTTCTGAGAATAATCAAAATTGCTTAGAGCTTTTTAGATTTTACATATATTTAGATTTCATAGTCTTTATAATTGAAATGTATGTATGTAATGAGTTTGAACAAATATCTGAACTTGAGGGAACTTTTTTCCCCTAAAATTTTCTTTCAGACTTCCTCTCCACATTTGCCTTCTGATTTACTTCACTAGCATCTTATGGGTATCAAACTGAACCATTAGTATAGGGAAAGAGTCATAACTCATAAAAACTAGACAATATATAACGGCTGCAAGCAAATGAAAAGTTACCTCGGGACTAATCATGTCGACAATCTGGCATAGAATATCCTCAAAAAGAACCGGCTCTTGGGCCATGCATTCCATTCTATGCAACTGCTCCTCATAAAAGAACTGCATTTCATTCCTGGTAAGAACCCCATTTCCATCCAAATCTATGCACTTAAACCTGATCCAGGTATAAGGTTAAATTTGTCAAGAACTGTACCAATGCATATATGCAAATTAAAATAGAGAGCCACTTAACTGAAATACAACAAAAAGGGTAAGATAGCAAGTGCTCCCTTATCTACACTTCATTTGTTTGCATCCCAATTTCAGAGGTAGGGAAGGTGAAATGAAAACAAAATCATTTTTTAAAGCCAGAGTACTACACGGTTTTATCCTCTCCTGAATAACAAGGTAAACTTCCAATTTCTTCCTATTTTTTTTATTACTTGCACTTCCCTACACTTTCACTAAATCAACTCTGCTACACCTGGTTGAAGCATACTCTTATAATAAGAGGAATGCTAACCACAACTCTTAGAGCTTAGGTTAAGATATAATAGGGAAAAGTATGGAAATAGTACTTGTGGTTGGGCGCGTTTTCAGATAGAGTCATGTGTTTCATTCTTTATCAAAGTGGTTCATGTGTTTGAGTTTCGTTATCACACGAGGGTCACACTGTTAAAAACGTCCGAGAAAGGCGGTTAAAAGAAACCCCGATTTTCAAATGTGCCCAAAAAATTAAAAAAGAAATACTGGAAAGATGCGCCTCAATAAGACGACCGCTGGGTCATCTTTCTTTTTTGTTTTCAGATCCGAAAAATCCAAAGGCGAAGGTGGTTTGGAGGTCATCTTGACGAGGCGCACCTTTTGGTATTTTTCTTTCAATTTTCCGGGCACTTTTTGAAAATAGGAGTTGCTTTTAACCGCTTTCTCAGACGTTTTTAACGGCGTAACCCTCTAATGATAACGGAATTCAAACATATGAACCACTTTGATAAAGAATGAAACACATGACCCTATCTGAAAACGGACTCAACAACCGTACCTTTTCCCTAAAAAAATTATTGGACGTGTGGGAGGGAAATTCAAAACCATTGGCAAGTGCTTTTGTCCGTCGCCAAATAAAAACTTCCATTTTTGTTTCTTAACTAATGCCCTAGGGGACCGTGGTTTGCAGTATCCATAATAACATGCATTCAGAATACTTCTCATGTTGACATTTTCTATTACCCAATTTGCCGGACATAGAATTTAAGAAAGTGAAAACTATGCAGATGTGTTATATTTAGAAAGGAGAAATAGTTTTCCTTGGAAGGATTATTTAAGATTTTGGGACATGTAGTTTTGGGACACAGGAAGTGTTATTTAAGATTTTAAGTGGGAAAAATTCACTCTACCAGTACTCCAGACTAGGCTCAGATGACTTGTCCTCTTCTGACAATATGAAGTAAACGAAATCTTCATAACTCATCTTTCCCTCAACCTTACTAGTGAACTTTCTGGGAACCTGAAGCAACAACCATGCATAAAGTAGAAGCAAATAATTGCATTCCCACACACAGTGGGCATAGAAAAGCTGAAAAGCACTATAGTAGAGCACAAACCTGAGAGAATATCCTATCAACAATCCGATAAGTAAGCGCATGGTTGCCATATCTGATAAGGTTCTCTTTATCAATCAGAAAATCGTGATCTGTATCCAGCTCCCAAAACTTGCAATATATCACATAAAAATGTTCATAGGAAAAGAATCTGCAGCAGAGAATACAAGAATTAACTGATACAATACACCACCTGATCAGTATCGAGTAATTATAAAATAGCACTTCAAGTCAACATGTAATTCCCAGATTCTTGACAAGTCTACATAACATAAGAGAGAAGCACGACAGAACAAAAGGCATCTTTGTACTAAACTATATATCCTTCCAACTGGGATTTGCATTAAAGTAGAATAACTAAACAGACCAAGTGAGCCTACTTAAAGGTTTCATAAGACTCAGTGCATGTTGTAACTTTCGTACTGATATCTCTGACCTTTTTCAAGTGAAGTTAGTTTTGAATTTATGGTAAACAAAGAAAGCTGAGTAGTTAATTGAAGGATTTTCGGAGAATCATTTTTCTTAAATTTTTTAATATTAAATATTTCTTCACTATCATGGTCCATGAAGAATTTTTTACTTCTAACTACAAAATATATATATGAGATATGATAATATTCCTTGCATGAAATACTAATTCCCTCTTTCTTTGAACTAAATATAATATCCTTCTCCACTCACTTTCCAGCTCCCCTCCTTCTGAACAAGCAATACGAGGACACAGTCAGTAGAGCTTATTTTTAAACTTTACAGCTAATTTTAAGCTATTATTGAGCTTAAACTGTTTTTAAGAAATAAATAAGTTCATGCTTTATTATGCATTTTTTAAAAACAAGGCCTTTTCATTTATTGCACCACAACCTACTTTTTAAAAGGCGGCCCTTTTTACTAACCCCTGATTAAAATATAATTCTTTATAAGGTTATTTACAAATCTAACAATAAATAATTCATCCAACCAATTTTAGCTTTTAGCTTTCAAATCCTAGCAAATAGCTTCTCAACTATGTGTGCCAAAGCAATCTCCTTTGGTGGGTGGAGTATGTATGTGTGATAGGAATCGGGCCTATAGTTCTATCAATGTGTAGACAAGCACTATACATGTGTACTACAAATATACCTGTAACAGCAAAAGAATATAAGAACGAAGAAAAAGAGGGCAAAGCAAAACAAAAAACTCATCCGACCTGTAGGACCAATTATTTTACCTTAAGACCTTGTTAATATCCTCTTCTTCATCAGCATGTAGCATTGCAGAAATTAGGTCCGAACGTTTCAGTTCTCTGAGGGTAAGACAGCCATTACCCGGTCTATTCACATAGTAAAATATTCTATATATAACAGTTTCAGCTGCAATATAAATTTAAGCGTTAAGATGCAAAAAAATACAATACATAATTTATTCAGTAATGAAGAGAAATGTTATTTCATGAAGTCAATAATGTCAATTTAAATTGTAATAAGTTTCCAATAGATATGCAACATTGAGGTATTCAAATAACTATGAAAGACATGCGCTAGTCTGACAGTACAATCTCAAGGAAAGGGAATTTTGATTTTGTGGAAATTATTAAAAGCACATCTTGATGTGGCAATTCAAGACAAAATACCCAGATGAATTGGAACCATAATAGATATACATATACTTGAGAAGTTACCATATCTTTCTTGAAATTCAGGTGTACTCTGTAAGAACTCCAACCCTGGATGAGTAGTCAAAAGTTCTCTAAGCACAGGTTTGAAGTCCTCCTACAGTCCAGTTGACAGAATGACAAAAAATACTCATCAAGGAAGAGAAGAAAGTGATATTGAAATATTTGATTTTGTAAATAAACTTATTTTCAGTGTTAATAATTAAAGCTGAAGTTCTTTTTATATGAGTTGACAAATGTAAGAATAATGAATTAGAAATGCTCTTTCACAAACTCAAATGCAGGGAAAACCTGTGTCAAGTACTTCAAATCTGGCTGTTTCAAGATGGTGAATACTTGGGTCGAGAGATCTTTGGTCAACATATTGCTATTCACCCAAAAATCAGCAAAGGCATCCCTGAGGCAAGAGAAATGAACATGTTACTCTCTTAACAGATTAAACAGAAAACCCCCCAGAAGACAACAGAAGAATGGGAAAAAATAAAGAACAAGTAAGAAATCCAATTACAAAGATAAAGCAGATATTGAGCTTGTTTACTGAGAATCTTATTGTCTTTTACCTACTCTAAGAAGCCATGAGCTACACCAAACATAATGCTTTACCAAATGTTCTTTTGATGTGTCTAAGACCACAAAGGAGCGAATTGCCACACTTCTTAGAGACCTCAATTTGAGCTTAAAGGCTTTTCCATATAGAGCTTGTGGATGTATGGTTGTATGTTTTGGCATTTCAGTTATAAAGGAATGACACGAAATATGATCTGTCTACGGAATATTAAAAAAAAATCCCTGAATAAGAGTGTTTTCTTATTATCTACCTAGGCCAACCAAGTGCGTTGTATGATAAGTAACAACGGTTTTTTCCTCCAAACTATGATAGATACCAGATCCACACTATGGAAATTGAGGTATATTAAGTAGGAATTCAGATAATATATCTGAACCCTTAAGCAGCTACAATGGCAGAATTAGGTAAACCAGCGTACAAAGAAGAAACTAGAGACAATTTTGAGAGTGCCTCTCTCTCCCAAGCCCAAGCCTAACATAATTTCTGCCTAACTTTCTTTTTCCCTCCTTCCCACTTATAATCTTCCTATCCTTTAGAGCTGGCCCACACTCATGAATTACATGGCCTGGAACCCTCATGTGTACACTATCACAATATATTTAATACTCCCTCCGTCCCATGTAAAGGTTCCCGTGTCAAAATGACACAATTATTAAGACAATAATTAAATATGCTAATTCGAGTATATTTTGAGAAATAATTTTGATGAGTATATAATATAATGGGTTGTTGATGATAACTGTGATTTTCTAAATATTTTTTTAGTATTTGATGATTAAATTGTCATTTAAGAGTGTTAATTGTTTCCTAAAATAGAAAGTGGGAACCTTTAAGTGGGACAACCAAAAAAGGAAAGTGGGAACCTTTAAATGGGACGGAGGGAGTATTATTATACTATCCTCCATTTTTTAATCGCAACATGTTGAATTTTACACTATTCACATGTTCTACTTTGACTACATTTTACGCTATTATTTTATGAGAATTATTTTTTTAAAAAAATATTGTTCAATTCATCTCATTATAAATTTTCAAAATCTGATTTTTAATTTGTTTTTACTAATAGAGATTAAGATATAATTACGGTCAAAGACGTGCGTTGGCAAGTGTGAAATGTTGACCGTTGCAACTAAAAAAGAAGAAGTATTATTTTTATTACTATTATTATATTATTTTTATTAGTTATACTGTCCAGGTCCCTATCAAACTATCACAGGTAATATCAGGAATTTAAACAGTGAAAGATTAGTCCCACCCTGTCCTCTAAAAGGTTTACCTGGTAACAATACCACCACAATCAACATCAATCTTTTTAAACAGTGCGGTGGAGAAGAATGACGGAAGCTTGCATATCTCTTTAGTAATCAACTTAAATTCTGAAATCCCAGTGGAAAAGTTGGGTTATAATTGAAATCAATACAATACCCATTAACCCACTAAAGGCTGCAATTATATGAAAATGTCAAAAGCACAAATAACAATATAGATTAGTTGATTAGGGATCATCTCTAATATGTGTGTTATATACCATACCAACTCACTTCAGGCACATAAATAAACAGGTCCACTTTAAACATGCCTTTTCACGAGCTGTATTCAATATGGTGTTTCTCCATATTAATCTTCTAAACAAATCTATATATAATCAAATATAATCCAACAAACAGGAACAGCAGATGCATTTAAGAGTCAACGCATGGTTTTATAAAGGAAGACATCCAAAAAGGCTAATGATTTTACGGATGAGCTAATAACCCTAATGATCAGAAAACAAAAAACATAAGTTCACCTAATTTCTTAGATTGCACAGGAATATGGAAAAAATAGGAACCTTACCATGCATTTGTATTCCATCACTATGACCATAGAAAAACTGGTTGATCCTAAACAAACACCTTTCCTTCAATTCTGTCGGAGGTGGAGGGCCATTTTGAAAGTAGAACTGCCACCATCGAATTATTTTTAAAACAAAAGATCAACAAATCATTGACTGTGCACATAAATGGATCACGAAACTCTTACTGACCTGAGGTATCATCTCTTTAACTGGTTCATTCACTAATTTCAGAGGAGAACCTAACTGAGAAGGACCGGCCCTGTGCTTCATGGTTCTGGGTGATCCTGATGAGCTTCGTGGTGAAAGTGGAGGTGTGCTGCCAGCAGGAAACATAGACGGCAAAGAATTGCTTGTGGCAGCACCACTGCTAGATGTTCCGGAAACATTGAGAGGACCACCACCCTTGGCATTGTTAACCAAAGATTTTACCTATATATGAAGAATATGTGAGTTAACTATAATGTTTTAAAAGAGAGAGACATCAATAAAAAATAAATTTGAGGAAGTACAGAGAAAGTGAGAGAATATAATAAAATAGAATAAACATACTATAAAATTCATCAGTTTCAAAATCATCAGCCAACCCCATATCTTGATTTCTATGATATATAGAAGATGAATCATAAACTTATTATAAACAAAATCTATTTTTGAGGGGTGCATTGACACATATAGAGAAGGATCCTGGATTCAATGTATGAATTATATTCTGAAATATGACTACAATTTATAATAAGAAATAAGTTACCACATTGAGCCCTTTATACCCACCACTGGTAATACCCTTTCTTCTGGATCAGTACAAAATACAACGTATATCACAAAATTTGGAAGCTGGCTTTTTAGCTTCATATATATTTTTCTTTTACTTTACTAATCCATACTGCATTACTTCCTAATTTTCTATCCTTTTCGATGTATTTCACATATCCCATAAGCCACCCAAATCACGTCTTTTATCCATTAAATAGAAAAAGACAAAAACATAATTCATAGTCACTTGACGATTTAGATTGTTTTCAAAGTAAAAGATTGAGAATGCTAATGGATTTCCAAATGAATACTCCATATGTCCCGCTCTGTTCTCTATTTCGGATATGAGTATTTTTCATTAATTAGTACTAATAAATAGTTAAGGTTTACATTTTTGAAATTACACTAAAGTTACGTATTTCCTTTTTTAGGTGTCCCAAAATAAATGTTATGTTGCCTTTTTTGGCAAATCATCCAATATATAATTCATACTTTACTCTTCCTTTTACTTAAGTCTACAACCTTGTCATTCCAAATTTACATACTTTCACTTCTACAGTAAAGGAGAGGCCAGGGTAGGTTAGATTTTTTATCCCATTTTCTACTCTATGTGCCCACAAAAATAATTGTAACTATTATTTTGGGACGGAGGTAGTATATTGAATTGCAAATTTGAATTTGAATAAGTTAGAAGTTTGATACACAAAATGTAAAAAAAAAGTATTTTGTTTACGACATTATTTAAAACTGACAATGTGAATTCTCTTAAAGAGACAAACAGTAATTGTATTACCAGTTTCCTGTCACAGAGTAAAATAAATCTCTAAAGCACTTCAGCTAAATAACTATTTCATCCATAGTGGCTTCAGGTCCAACACGGCAATACATAACCCACAATTTATCATATCATGCGTGTCCAATCAAAATGATGTGATAAGCAATATTTTCTAAACATTGTGACTCTTATTGATAAAAAGAAGAATGACTTTGCTAACTCCCATCAGGCGCCTATGCTTGGGAGACCACCTACCCCCGTAGAAGATGAGTGGAGTGCGTTTGACTTTCCACAATAGTATTGGTAAATGTATTCAATCTATCCAAGGATTTCATATCCATGACTTGTCATCATTGACGAGTAAAGAAGAAAAAGGACTTAAATAAGCAAATCCTATCAGCCCAAAAGTCTAGCTATTTATTACCAAAATCACATATAAGGTATTCTTAAATGCTTAGTACGCATAATAGAAACTGCCAGAAAACTAATGAAATCCAAAATGCTAGTGCGACTGTCATGACAATCATTTGTTTAACAAGGGTCCATAAGATAAAATCCCAAAAGCATAAACAAACAGACAATAGACAAGTAACCAATCTATTGATGAGGAGGTCAGAGAAACTATTAGAAAGTATGAAAATGGTACAGGTCTAATAGAGGTCCCAACATTCTGCTCCAAACACTAAGGCTCCTTTACTAGCAGCCTTGCCCACTTTTCGCTTTAGTCTTAGAAGCTAAGTATGATAACAAACACTGGTATCATTCTCTCCATTTTAAACAGCCTAAAATTGAAAGTGTACTTATTACACATAATGTTATCCAAACACTGTTACTAATCCAAAAGCATACCTGCTTTCACATTCTGTTAGAAATGGACTGATTGCACATACTGTTTTACATAATAGAGTTAAATTGATGTGAATTTAATTTTGGGCACAGTAAAACAGCTAGTTAAAACTGCAAAAGAAAATACCAATGAGACTGTTTCTGGAAGCGACAGCCATTGATCAAAGAGCTTCTCGGGGATAAGAGGATTCGCTTTGATAGCCAGAGGAGACACCTCCGAGAGCTGCAAGAGCTCAGCATCAAGATTCGCCACATCGCCATCAAAATCAACATCCATCACGAAGCCTACAAATCAAAATCTTCCCAAAGCAAATCCTCAGATCTTTGTGTTCTTTCTGTATCATTCAACAAACCCTAAATAGACTCCGGAAGAGAGAATCCACACACATACAGCTCCAACTCAAATGAACCCGTTATTATCCAGCCATAAGCTTCGAAATGAGGGATGCGAAAAGTGCATATCCGAACAGATCTTCCGAATCGAAAAAATCTAGAGAAATATAAACCCTAGGAGAGATGAACGAGTAAAAATTTAAAATTCGGGAACCGAAGTATTAGAATTTACAGAGAAAAGCTTGGCTAAGAAGAAGACGGGGACGAGAAGGAGCCAAGTGCCGATGTGAAGAAGACGGAGAAGAGTCATAAATATTACGAGTACTCCGTAATAATCATACGTAGAAATAAAAAGACCACAATAGTAATTTAAATAAATAAATAGATAACAATATTGGTTAAAAAAACAAAATAAATAACAATATTAAAAGTAAAAGAGAAATAAGTGAAAGTGCTCACATGTAGGGATAAAAGTAGGACCATTTTTTTATTCAGTTTATATACTAATCATCACCACTAATCATTTTGGTGATGATTAGTATACACCCTACAACAATTTAAAAATTGTGAAGAAATGTGAGTGCAAAATCAAATGATATCATGTTCAACGAGGTGCACACATTAATAATTTTAAGAATAAAGTACAAGTCCAATGTCACCTAAAGTATGAGGTGCAAGATTCATTCCCCTTTAAAATAAAGTAGGGAAAATGGAAACTAATAATCCAACCTTTTAGCGGTCTTTTTTTAATAGTCCCACCTTTTCGTTATTCATGAATAATCCAACCTTTGCACCTCATCTTCATTCACTGGTCCCTGACCGGTTGATGACCTGCTATTCCAAGTCATTTTCTTATCTTTGCAAAATATTATCTTTGTGCAAGGTGGAATTTATGGTATAATAGTTTGCAGAGATGAGAAAATAACTCGGAATAGCATGTCATCAACCGGTCGGGGACCAATGAATGAAGATGAGGTGCAAAGGTTGGATTATTCATGAATAACGAAAAGGTCGGACTATTAAAAGAAGACCGCTAAAAGGTTGGATTATTAGTTTCCATTTTCCCAATAAAGTATGAGGTGCAAGGTTCATTCCCTTTTAAAATAAACTTTAATCTCCTAAGTGGTTCCATTAAAAAAAAAAACTTAAACGCTAAATGCATCCTCATCTAGCAAGTAGATACACATACGGAGGATCCCATCTTTCTTTTTCACAAATAGAATTGGAGGTCCCCACAAGTAATAGATTGGTCTAATGAATCAATTATCCAATAGTTTCTGCAATTTGATCTTCAGTTCATTTAGTTCAGTCGATGCCATTTATATGGTGGTATAGAAATTTGTTGTGTGTCGGGCTCAACCTCGATCACAAACTCGATTTCTCTATCAATTGGAAGCACTAGTAAATCTTTAGGAAAGACGTTCGGATACTTACGCACTGCTTCCACATCATTGATATTTTTCTCTTCCTTGGTGTTATCCTCCACGTGGGTTAGGTATGTATGACATCCTTTTCTTGTCATCTTTTTTGCTCTCATGGATGATATGATACAACTACTTGTGTTAGGAATTATTTTATTGTGTCCAATTGCATTTGCTATCCTTTCATTTGTGTATTTAATTTAGTTATTGGGCCTTGTATTTATTTAGCATATTTAGTATTTGTTTGTATTTATTTAATTAATAATAGGAAGGTGGTATGTCACTTTCCTATGTCGGCTGACATATCTCATGTATTGTACTGGGATATCCAACGCATATGTGTATGTATCCCGGACTAATTTAGCCGATCAGAATTGTTGGCTAAGCTTTGCACGGGAGCTATTGTATTTCATATACCCTGTTCATTCATCAACATACGGAGTATTATTCTTGGTATTGGAATCAAAGCCCATTCTCTTCCATATTCTTATTTATATATCTGATTGTTGGATAAATATGGACTTCCAACTTGAGTTGCCTCGACACATAGAACATTAAGCACGCAGGCTCCCAAATTGTTTAAAAGAAAAGATGTTCATGAGACCATTTATTGGAGTTTGAAAATATAATGGAAGAAGCACAAATCGAGTCTTCTCTCCTTACGGATCACTCAAACAACTAGCACACATAGTAAGTTTTTTTTTTGAGATATTACCCGAAATAGGACTAAAAAGGTTTGAAAATTCCAAAATAGGACTGTCATGTCTTTATTCCCAAAATAGCACTAATTACTGTCATGTTTTGGCAGTACCAGACTTCAAACATGGCAGTATTTTCCAAACTTGACAGTAATTACTCCTATTTTGGGAATAAAAAACATGACAGTCCTATTTTGGAATTTTCAAACTGTTTTAGTCCTATTTCGGGGACTTTCCCTTTTTTTTGCAACCAGCACACATAGTAAGTTATACCTTCAACTTGAAATGGTGGGATGTCCCCAAAGAGGTCAGTACTTTCCCCAAACTTTAAAGTTGGCAATGATGACATCTAATAGATATATCACAAGTATTTTAAACACAAGACCTCAAAGTAGAGATATGATATATACATTAGGTTGTAACCCCCCCCCCCCCCCCGAGTTACCCCGTTTAAAATCATGCTTGCTTATATAAACTTAAGTAGTCTGATCGTGGGTCCATTTATATTCAAAGCATTTCTCGGTTACAACTCATCGATTTTTATAACCTCAATATTATTAAAACCATCATGTGGGCCTCTCCTTAGTGCACGAAGTTCCATAGGGTCATCAAGGCGAACCCCGGCTATTGCATCTAACAACAAATCATATGGGGCCCATCATTGCTAATCCAAGACCTCATGGGTTCTTGGGCCAATGTTCGGCCACCTCACCACTAGGCTATACCCTTCCACCCGCAGGAAGGCAGGATCTATCGGGGTCCTAAACAATGTCACCTTTTATTCAAAGCCAAGTATGGTCATTGATCCGGAGTTCATTCCTTTTACTTCATCACATTTATTAGGACATGCTAATCTGATGACACTCTCAAGAGACGGCCCGCACCATGGTCCTTACATCTATCCTTGTGAGTCCATGATCTTTGACACCGCTCCTTAAACATGGGGCGGGACATGGCCCCCGCCCTAACATTCAAACATACTTGGGTATCTAAAGGATCACCCGAGATCTACATCATACAATTCAAATCTTAGGATCAATTCTAACCAAATCATAAACTAACTTTAAATTGATATCTTGGTATGATTTGGACTTTCGTACCATAATCAAGTCACAATTTTGTGAATACACGACAATTCGCACATGAAGTAGCAATTCATCTCTCAACACAATTGTTCATAATATTTCCATATTTTATCAATTATTTAGCACCATAATCCATATTTCTATCATATATTTATTTCCTTATGCCTACAATTCGTGCATGAAGTAGAAACTCATCTCTCAACACAATTAGCACCATATCTTAAATATAATTCAAAATCATGCATAACACTTTTCATGATCAAATATATCCATATTTTATTAATTATTAGGCACCATAATCCATGAAAATCATACTTCACTCATTTAGGTAATCTCATGCTTAACCTACATGTTATAAGCAATTAGATGTCATTCATATCCTCACATCAATTTATGCTCCTCAAACTGACCCTTCTCGGTCCGGTGGTCAAACCTCCCGTCAAGGACGATTGAATATGGATTTCTTGTTTCACAATGAAGGCTAGAAGACTTCCTCCGAGTGATAGGCCGTCCTTAATAGCTGGAACAAAAACAGACCCCTACCGAGGGTGCTTTCCGGTAGCTGGGACAAAAACAAACCCTTAATAGCTTGAATTATTTTTTAAAAATGATTTCACTAATATCACTTTTCCGGTGGACTTTCCAATGACTAGGGTGGCTGAAAACAAAAAAGAGAGATGGCTTACCGGTCATTTTATTGAGGCGCACCTTTCGGAATTTTTCTTTTTATTTTTCGGGCACTTTTGAAAATCGGAGTTACTTTTAACGGTCTTTTTAAACGTTTTTTACGGTGTAACCCTTTTGTGATAACGGAATTCAAACACGTGAACCACTTTATAAAGAATGAAGATGTTTTTACTTTGATAGTTATAAAAATACAAAGAAACTAGACCAGATCAGACCAACAAATTACAATCCAAGTAAAAACATCCAGAAACACATGACCCTATCTGAAAACGAACCCAACCACATCCGTATTTTGGATTTTTTCCCTACTTTCAAAGGCACCTAGAAGGCTTAAACACAAAATTATAAAGGTCCATGATGAGAATGAAACAAATCCAAAACTATGAACAAGTGCAATAAATTTCTTTCTTTTGGGCACAATAAGAGGCCGTCTGAAGGAGGTCTAGCTAGACAAGATGCCAATACTTTTAGTGGGGCTACTTGGCTAGAGGTGATGAAAGAGGAGGTAGACAAGATGCCAATACTTTTAGTGGGGCTACTTGGCTAGAGGTAGGCCTGGACTCGGGCCGGGTGGCCCGCCCGGAACCGGCCCAGCCCGGTTACTGTTTGAACCGGCCCGGCCCGGGAACCGGTCGGGGGGACGGTTCGGGTCGACCCGGCCCGGTGGAGTAGCGGTTCGGTCTCGGGCCCTTCAAATGGCGAACCGGCCGGGCCCGGTTCGGGCCTAACGGCTATTTTTTAAAAAAAAAAAAATTAAATAAATGGAAGGCTTCTAGCCGTTGGGAGACCTCCCAAACGGCTCTATAGCCGTTGGAGGGGGTGGGAGGGGGGGTCCAGGGGTTTTGGGGGTGGGGTGGGGATAAAAAAAAACCTATTTATACTCCTATTTTCTATACATTTTTTACACCTCATCTCCAACTCTTCCTACTCTCTAATTCTCTATTCCCTCATACTCTTAAATCTTAATCATCTCCATCTTCATCTTCTCCAAACCTCTCTACATATATACTATTATATAATTATTATATCTACTTATATACTACCTCCGTTCTCTTTTAAATGCAACGTTGGACTTTTTGCACTATTCACATGATCTACTTTGACTACGTTTTATTTATTAATGTAATAATATATATTTTTGAAAAAAATATTATTAAATTTTTCTCATTATAAATTTTCAAAATCTATTTTTTAAACTTTTTTTACTAATCGGGAATTATATATATTAATGGTCAAAGTTGTGTCTCGGCAAATGTGAAATGTTGACTGTTGCATTTATTTAAGAACGGAGGAAGTATTAATTATATTCTTATTATATTACTAATATTTATTATCTACTTAATATATACTTATTATCTTCTTAATATTTACTTTGATATCTACTTATCATCTATACTTATTGTTATTTACTTATATATTAAATTATTAATTATCTACTTTACATACAT